ATGCTAAGCAGGAAGTGTGAATCAGGCGGTATAGCGATACCAGACTTCAAACTATACTACAGAGCAATAGTAACAAAAACAGCATGGTACTGGTACCAAAACAGGCGGGTGGACCAATGGTACAGAATAGAGGACACAGAAACCAATCCACAAAACTACAACTGTCTTATATTTGATAAAGTGGCTAAAAGCATGCAATGGAGGAAGGATAGCATCTTCAACAAATGGTTCTGGGAAAACTGGAAATCCATATGGAACAAAATGAAACTGAATCCCTTTCTCTCGCCATGCACAAAAGTTAATTCAAAATGGATCAAGGAGCTTGATATCAAATCAGAGACACGCCGTCTGATAGAAGAAAAAGTTGGCTACGATCTACATACTGTGGGGTCGGGCTCCAAATTCCTCAATAGGACACCCATAGCACAAAAGTTAATAACTAGAATCAACAAATGGGACTTACTCAAACTAAAAAGTTTTTTCTCAGCAAAAGAAACAATAAGAGAGGTAAATAGGGAGCCTACATCTTGGGAACAAATCTTTACTCCTCACACTTCAGATAGAGCCCTAATATCCAGAGTATACAAAGAACTCAAAAAATTAGACAATAAGAGAACAAACAACCCAATCAACAAATGGGCCAAGGACCTGAACAGACACTTCTCAGAGGAGGACATACAGTCAATCAACAAGTACATGAAAAAATGCTCACCATCTCTAGCAGTCAGAGAAATGCAAATCAAAACCACCCTAAGATACCATCTCACTCCAGTAAGATTGGCAGCCATTATGAAGTCAAACAACAACAAGTGCTGGCGAGGATGTGGGGAAAAGGGTACACTTGTACATTGCTGGTGGGACTGCAAATTGGTGCAGCCAATTTGGAAAGCAGTATGGAGATTTCTTGGAAAGCTGGGAATGGAGCCACCATTTGACCCAGCTATTCCCCTTCTTGGTCTATTCCCTAAAGACCTAAAAAGAGCATGCTACAGGGACACTGCTACATCGATGTTCATAGCAGCTCAATTCACAATAGCAAGACTGTGGAACCAACCTAGATGCCCTTCAATAGACGAATGGATTAAAAAAATGTGGCATTTATACACAATGGAGTATTACTCTGCATTAAAAAATGACAAAATCATAGAATTTGCAGGGAAATGGATGGCATTAGAGCAGATTATGCTAAGTGAAGCTAGCCAATCCCTAAAAAACAAATGCCAAATGTCTTCTTTGATATAAGGAGAGTAACTAAGAACAGAGTAGGGACGAAGAGCATGAGAAGAAGATTAACATTAAACAGGGATGAGAGGTGGGAGGGAACGGGAGAGAGAAGGGAAATTGCATGGAAATGGAAGGAGACCCTCAGGGTTATACAAAAGTACATACAAGAGGAAGTGAGGGGAAAGGGAAAAATAATACAAGGGGGAGAAATGAATGACAGTAGAGGGGGTAGAGAGAAAAGAGGGGAGGGGAGGGGAGGGGAGGGGGGATAGTAGAGGATGGGAAAGGCAGCAGAACACAACAGACACTAGTATGGAAATATGTAAGTCAATGGATGTGTAACTGATGTGATTCTGCAATCTGTATATGGGGTAAAAATGGGAGTTCATAACCCACTTGAATCAAAGTGTGATATATGATATGTCAAGAACTATGTAATGTTTTGAACAACCAATAATAAAAAATAAAAAAAAAATATTTGGATCCATTTCAATTTTCTTTGGATTAGTAGTGCACTTTTTTTTTTATTTGTGACGTCTCATAATAAGATCCTTGTGTATACATTAACTCGTTTCTTGTAATTATACTACAGTGATATGTGCATACCCATACGTAGAGCAGCACATTTCACAATAACCAAACTATGGAATCAGCATACATAGCCTTTACAATGTTGAGGTATATTCCTGTTATCCCTAGGTTTTCAAGCATTTTAAACATGAAGGGATACTGTATCTTATCGTATGCTTTCTCAGCATTTATTGAGATGATCATATGATTTTTATCTTTGAGTCTATTGATGTGATGAATTACATTTATTCATTTCCATAAGTTGAACCAACCTTGAATTCCTGAGATGAACCCTACTTGATCATGATGCACTATCTTTTTGATATGTTTTTATATTTGATTTGCCAGAATTTTATTGAGAATTTTTGCACCATATTAGAGATATTGGTCTGAAGTTTTCTTTCTTTGATGTGTCTTTGCCTGGTTTTGGAATCAGGGTGATATTGGCCTCATAGAATGAGTTTGGAAGTGTTTCCTATTTTTCTATTTCATGAAATAGTTTGAGAAGTATTGGTGTTTGTTCTTCTTTAAAGGTCTTGTTGAACTCAGTTTTGTACCCATCTGGTCCTGGGCTTTTCTTGGTTAGTAGGCTTCTGATGGCATCCTCTATTTCCTTGCTTGAAATTGATCTATTTAAATTGTGTATATTATCCTTATTTAGTTTAGGCATATCACAGGCATTTGCAGGGAAATGGAGTTATAGAAAATAATGCTAAGTGAAGTAAGCCAATCCCCAAAAGCCAAATGCTGAATGTTTTCTTTGATATAGAGAGGCTCCCTATCTCCCTATGATAGGGAGATAGGGCAGAGGGGTGGGAAGGGAAGGGAGGGGGCATGGGGCTATTAATGACAGTGGAATGTGATGATCAGTATTATCCAAAGTACAGTTATGAAGACACAAATTGGTATGAATATACTATGTATACAACCAGATATATAAAAAATTATGCTCTATATGTGTAATAAGAATTGTAATGCATTCTGCTGTCATATATAAAAAAAATCTAATACATTGCCAGTCATATGAAAGTATAGCACAATATGTATAGTGATTTGAGCAGGACCTCTGTTGCTGTTGCTGCAACTAAGGATGACACCAAGAAGACACTGCTGCAGTTCTAGAAGGATTACACAACTATGACAATATCAAGAGTCAGCCTGGGCTACAGGTGATGTCACCAAATAGAACATGAATGACATCTGCATCTGGAAGAATATACTTAAGTATGTCCATCACTTCAAATAATTTGCTACGGAGGAAGAGGTTGCAAAACTCAACAAGTCTTGAGGTTGAGATGAGAAACACCTGTACCCTGCCTGTGGAGGAGGGTGCAACTGAGGAGCTCCTGGGGGTGGTTCCTGAGGAACTAATGAGTTGTTGAACTGGAACAGGGACCCTTCGCTAAAGAGGAGGCAAGAGAAAAGGAAACTGCTAGGGAAGATAAAAAACTGGAAGTTCATAGTGAAGGGCATAGCAAAAGCTTTTGCAGACCTCAAAAATCTCCTTAAAAAGTGTGAAAACATGGACTTCAAGCCTGAAAGGTTTTCGTTAATAGGAATGTTCCCTGGTGCACTATCTACTTACAAGCAAATCTATGGTGGAAAAAGAAGCTAGCAAGCCCCCATGGACATGTTTCTGAAGAGTACCACCTCCTCAAGAGCCTGAGAACAAGGTGTTGAGGCCATAGGCGATGACAGCTGCATAGTGTTGCTGTCCCTAAAGACCTGCAGAGGGACAAGATGTGGAGGTGGAAGACAGTGATGTTGATGATACTGACCCTGTGCAGGCTTGGGCTAACTCTATTTTAGTTTTTAACAAAAAAAGTTTTAAAGGCCCCCCAAAAATTAAATAGGAAAAAAATCCTTATAGAATAAGGATATAAATGTTTTTGTGCAACTGTGTTTATTTTCATGTAATGTTCTTACAGAAGAGCCAAAGATTTAAATAAAAAAGTTCATACAGCAAAAATGTTAATTTATTATTGAAGAAATAAAAATGTTTCTTACAAATGTAGCATACCCAAAGGGTACTGTTATGAAGTCTATATGTGTGTCCAGGAATGTCCTTGGCCTTCACATTCACTCACCAACTCACCCAGAGCAACTTTGAATCCTACAATCTCCATTCATGTCTTATACAGCTGCATCATGTTCAATCCTTCATACTGTATCTTTATCATAGCTTTTCTATGTTTACATATATGGATACTTACCATTGTTCTCTAATTGCCTCCCATTCACGACTATAATATGCTGCACAGGTTTGTAGCCTAGAGCAACAAGCTCTACCATATACCTAGGTGTTAGGAGGCTGGACCACCTAGGTTTGTGTCTGTATACTCTATGGTGTTTGCACAACAAGGATGTTGCCCAGTGACTCATCCTTCAGTACATATACCTATAGTTAAGGAATGTATGACTGTACAATAGTAGCAAAAATGGATATACCTCAGAAATGGTTAAATTATGCACACACACAGTATCATGCTGCATGATGTTTCAGTTAGTGAAGAACCACATACACAGCAGTGTTCCCATAGATTATACGATATAAATTATAGTTATGCTGCAGTTGTCTTAGTCTGTGTATACTCTGTGATATTCAGACAATGACAAACTTGCCTAACAACACATTTTTCAGAATATATCAAATATCACTAAGTGATAAATGATTATACAAAACAGAATATTATATAGTCATTAAGTTGTCTATTTACAATGTAGCACTTACATGTTTATATGTGAAAAGAAAAGCATAAAATAGTTTAAAACTGTTAGAAGAAAATGGTTAAAAAAAAAACAAAACAAGAATGATCCCAGTGGCTTAGGAGGCTGAGACAGAAGGATCTCAAGTTCAACAACACCAAGGCACTAAGCAACTCAGTGATACCCTGTCTCTGAATAAAATACAAAATAGGGCTGGGGATGTGGCTCAGAGGTTGAGTGTTCCTTGAGTTCAATCCCCAGTACCCCCCTCAAAAAGAATGAACAACATTTATGAGATTTTAATACAGCCTACAATATTTTCCCTTTCTTTCAAATGTCCAATCTTTTCCAAAATTAATTTTCAGTGAGTATGTTACTTATACAACAGAAGCACAGAAAATATAAACATATAATTTCATTTTGATTAAAATTAATATTTTGGATGTGGTATCTATCAGCTATAAAAGGGTAGAACACACATATTATTTGTTGAAGTCATGCATCAATTCCTGAGAGCTGGATGATGGAGGGGATTGCTGCAGCCTAGGTACAGTTCACTCCTAGTCGTGGTTTCAGATCAATTTGCAAAAAAAGTTATTATAGGATACTAGTTTCGCTGAACTAGAGAATTAAGCAACATGACTGAGCTTGGTTACAGTGCATGGCACACATAGCACTTAATAAGTATGTTTAAATGGATGGATATACCTAACATATCCTAATATAGAAGAGCCAGAATTCAAACTTTGGTCCATCTTGTAACAAAGGCCAAACTATCTCCATCACAGTGCCTTCTCTTATAGCTGCAGCTATGCAGAATTGTCTAAAATAGCTAATAAAGGCCATTGCCAATGTAAACTTGGCTAATAAATCCAGCAATCTCCAATTTCTGCCTTATATCAGAACTCTTTCAATTTCAAAATGTATGCTTGATTAAGGATCAGAAGATAGAAAACACAAAGAATCTCAAGTGTTTTTTTAATTATTTACCATACAGAGGACAGAAAAATAAAAATCCACATGAAATCATTATATGTATATAGAACATTTTATAGTTAATAAACTCATCCATTTTTGCCATATTCTGCCAATTTTTTAAAAATATGACCTATGAAAACATCATCCAAAATGTGTTTCTTGAATTTTATGAATATTAGTTGTTATGTCACTTTTCCTTCTTTGCTCCACACTTACAAAATGAATTTATTCGAAAATTCTAAAATAAATGAATTGTGCATACTTTCTTAGCTGTTTTATATTCTATACTGAATATTTTAAACTACAAAGATTGAAAAGCAATTTTAATGTTTTTTTTCTATGTGTGATTGCTTGCCTTCTATAAGTGAACTAATCTATGGAATTAAATCATTTTGTTATCACAAGAACATAAGTATGTTTTATTATCACAAGATGATTAACTTGAATGCACATTAAAATACTGCAGAGCTGGCATATTTAATATTTATCAAGCAGAGAAAAAGAATGTTACTCTGCAATTGGCAACTGATAATTACCTCTTTTCAAAGCATTATTGTTGGATAGGTTTTATAGGGGGAAAGGAGTTATAAAACCTGACCTTCCTCATCCAAAAACAAAAGTAAATGAGTATGCATTATGAAAGATGGTGGCTAGAAATACTATGTCCAACAAAGCTATCAAGCCATCAAGGTGAAAAGAAAGGCCTTTGCTTGATTCAAGGTCTAGCATCTGAAAATCTCACTCGATAAATTTAACTGGATTTTCTTTTCTGATTATGTTTAACCACCAAATTTGATTGTGTGCCATAGAAATTTTCATTTTACCTTGAGATTAAAAGAAAAACCACTGGATTCTAAAGACAGATTAATACCTGTTTAGCTCAGGATAAAAACTGATCAGTGGAAAGCACATTACAAAACAAGCTGTTTTTTTTAAAGCATTCGAACACTATTAAAGATCTTTTCTGAAGTCTAGTAAAAGAAAAAATACCACAATGGACACAGAGTTTCCTCACAGACTGTACAATGGTTGTGAGCAGTATCAGGGTCTCAGGAAGTGTCATTTCAGAGCTGCATTCTTCTAAGTGGTTGAAGGAGTCTGAGCTGATACACCTGGTACTAGAAAAAACCTGAAATGATTCACCTAGTTGGATAAGAAAGGATTTCCATATCCTTGATTTATTAAATTCCATTGCTCTTTTGCATACATTTTCCCTTAAAACTCTTAAGATGAACATTTTTGCAATATAAAATGATTTAATCATTTATACAACAAGCTTAATAAAGCTGACATTCAATGGAAAACAATGAAGTGATCTACCTTTAGTAATCAAAGACTTTAAATCATTTTTATTATCTTGTTTTTAAGTGTCTCTTTTAACGCTTGTGATTTTATTAAATCACCAGGCCAAAAAATAAGGCAAACCATGTTTGTTTTCAACACACCTCTTGCACCACAGTGTAATTCTCAGTTAACCTTTAATACTCTGTACATACTATTCATAAATACTGTGGTGAAGTAAGGCCTTGCATCCTTGAGCAGGATGCTACATAGGGGAGGGTTATCAGCATTGAAAGGGTCTTCAACATCCCAGATTTCAAGCATGCTGCAACCAGGCCTGAAAAAGACACAAATATATCTATATTAAAAATATATTCATGCATAGAGAAAATACATAAATTATAAAGTATTTCCTAAATTTCCAAACACTAACTTATTTAACAAATTAAAGATCTTAAGTGTCATTTCAAAGAGCACAACCTCAAAATTTATAAATAATAAAATGAAATTAAGTATGTTGAATTTTCATGTCCTACTTAATGAAATAAAGGTTCAGTATACATTCAAAAATACATATTTATAAATTCACTTTCAAAATGAAACAAATATATTTTCCAAGCACCATCACCATCCAAATAACAGGCCTATTTGTAGTGAAATGAGATGAATTAAAGGAAAGCTAATCAAATTTCTGATTAATCCCAATTTGTTTGGCATAAATTTCCTGATTAGCATGAAAACATACAGTCCAAGGCAGGGAAAGGAGGTTCTTATGTCAAGTTTGTTTTCTTCAATGCTTTCCTATTTTAGGTGGTTCTGAGTAGACTAAATAAGAAAATATTTCTCACTAGAGTGGATTAAATAAGATAATCTTTCTCACCCTGCAAAGGAATCAAATTGATTTCTAATTTTTATGTTTCTAATTTTTGACACTTATATTGAGGTATAATTTATGTAAAATGAAATTTACTCATATCCTATCCTATATGGTAAAAGTTTAAGTATGGTCAAATGTGCATAGAATGTATCAACATCAACACAGTTATAGAAAGTGTCCATCACTTAACAGTTTTCCCCTATTGTCTGCAATCAATCCCCTTCCCCAAGCAAGGTCCCAGGCCTTCCCTGATCTCTTTTCTGCACTACAGAATTCAGAATCCTATCCAAATATATTAGGTAGGTAGGCTTCCCATTTCTGGTTTCTTTTCCTTAGAATGTTTTTGTATTCATACCTTAGATGTTGTAGCTCCTACAGCTAATATTGCAGATCAGTGATTTCTTAACTTTCATTACATGGAGTTACAACAATTTACCCATTTGCAAGCTAATAAACATTTGAGATACTTTGAGGTTTTATAATAATAAACAATGTTTTCCAATGACTTATGGAGGAGGCTTTGTATTGACATGTGTTATTACTTTAGGGCAACACCTAGTAGTAGGATGTTGTTTGATTAAATGTACATTTAACTTTTTAAGCAACTTCAAAATTGTTTTCCAAGGTCAATACATGATTTTCTATTTCCATCAATAATCTATAAGGCTTAAGTTGTACTAAAAATTGTACTACAAATTCTCACAAACACCTGGTATTATCCATCTTTGTAAATTTAGTCATTCTAGTGTTGTTATGGGTCATTCAGGATATCTTCTTTGGTAAAGTGTTTGTTTAAATATTTTGCCAAATTTTGTGTTGTTACTTACTAGTGATGTATGAGAGTTCTTTATATATTCCTGATAAAAGTCCTTGTAAGATATTTTAGCAGATGTATTAAGGCATACTTGATCAACCATTATTCAACATATTCCACATATTTAGAGTGTATAATCTAATAAAATTTAACATATGTATATACTTGTGAAACTATGGCCACAATAGAAACCATAAATATAAGACAAAATTTAAGATAGTAATAAATAAAAATTACATTACAATCTGACAATTTCTGATTAAAAATGGGATGTTTATATTTTATAAGAAAAACTTTGATTTATAAAACTCCTTATTGGAGCAGCTACATATGCTTATTTTCAAAATATTAGTTGATCTTTTCTAAAACATCCAATTATCCATGTGAACAAAGAGAAAAATGAACATGTGCTCCAACTGGCAAGGTCTTTTTCTCTGAGCATGAAATTTGTAATTATTCATATATTTTTATATCTGCTAAAAACTTATAACTAGATAAGATTCAAGTAAAATTAGAAAATAAAATTAATGAAAAGGGATTATATTAAAAGTGATTATTAACAATAGGATTTGGTTTTGCATGTATATCCTTAAAACTTGCTTTTTAAAACATTTATTTATAGTTAAATGAATTATTAGTTCAATTTAATGACTCATTGTTAGTAAAACTATAAAAGAAGACTAAAAGGTGGAAAAATATTTCTTAATATTTGATATATTATTTTATCTTTGGAACATTTTATGTACATGTAATTAAATATACTCACCTCTCCCACAAGCTTACTCATCCCCTTTTGCACCTCTACTCTCTTGTCCCAATCAACATCCCTTCCTAGGCAACCATATACCAGTTTCTCTCACTATAGATTTGTGTACATTTTCTGGAATTATTGCTTGCTTGCTTTTTTATGTCTGGTTTCTTTACTCAACATAATTGTTTTGAGATTTACCCATATTGCTCTTTGTATCAGCAGTTCATTCTAGTTTTTACTGAGGAGTAATACTGTATGGTCGAAATATTTCAATACTGTGTTTACTCATCCACCCGTTAATAGATATTTGGACTGCTCTTAGTTTTGGGCTATTATAAAAAAAAAACTGCTGTAAACATTTGTGTAAAATTATTGATGTGGATGTATGCTTTCTTCTATGCAAATACACACAGCAGGTGTATGTTTGAGTTGTTATGAACTGCCTGTTCTTGCAAAATGGTTATGCTAAATTACATTCATACAACCCACGTATGAGAGTTGTAGGTACTCCAGTGTTAGCAAAGTTGGCATGATCAGTTTTTTTTCAATCTTAGCCATTAAAGGAGTCATCAGACTCTGGAGTCTGTTTTGTTCTTCTGATTGCCCATTTGTCATTGTCATTCTAGGAGGCAATTAACTTGCCTACATCTGCTGTAATATATAGCAGCTAATATCTCTGTTCAGGAGTCTAAAGAAAGGCCTCAAGAATCCCTTAAACACCTTAAAGTTTTTTGATTCTTTTTTTAAGTTCAAAAATTTTAAATTTTAATTAGTAACATATTTTTCTTATTATGTCATTTTGAGTTATGAGAAACTTTTCTCTTAAGTCTTATAAATCCAATGTTGTTCAGCTATAGTACCAAAATGTTAATACTCCAATTTGTTGTAGATTCAAATCTACATTTCTTACATCTAATACAAATTGTCATAAAAATATGAAGAAGTATGAAAAAATTTAAGTTTAAGATAGATGTGTTTAACCTGATTTTAAACATATGATGTATACATGTACTAAAACATAACCCCAATAATATGTAAAATTTTTATGTTTTCATGTACCAATGAAAAAAATAAATGTTATAAAAGATGCTAAATGAAAATTAAGATACTAAGATGTTATAATAATTTTTTGAAATTAGATCATCCTTAAATGATTATTTCACTTTGCTAATTGAAATGATTTTAAGTAAAATGCCAAGGTAATAGTATAATGGAATTTATTTTAAATAAAGTCTTAAAAAATTAGGACTATTGTAATAAAATAAAACATTTGTTGCTTCAAAATATACCAAATCATAGTATAGTATTAATACTTACTTAGTTCTCACAACACACCATGCCTCTTCTAAAACATAATAATTCACATGTAACTCCAACAATTTATCTCTCACTTCTTTTGCAGATTTTCGACTATATGCTGAATAAACTATTTTTGTTCGGGCCCTTTAATTTTAAACAACAATTATAAACTGATTTTAAAATAAAGTATAATGGACTAAAGAAAATGTAATAGAAAATTGAAATTTCAATCCTCACAGGATGGGGTATTGGTATGTATGTAACAGAAATTATTTTTGAAATAGCTATTTCCACATTTCTACTTATATTTTGAATGCTCTAAAACAACCAGTTTGAATTTTGTATAATACTGCTTGTTTGTATGCAATCTAGTCTGGAGTTATACTGAATAGCAGGATAATTTCTCAGAATATAAAATTTGCTTCACATAATACACAATTAATTTGCTCACAGAATATTTTCAGACAGAATCTGAAAACAGATTTCACAAATAATATCTAAAGAAGCACAGAAAAATAGATGAGTTGAAGTTCAATGTAGCAAATAGAATATTTAGACACTGGGTATCAGAGAGGTAGAAGAAGCACATTACAGATTTTTCAGAACAGGGATATTCACCAAAATATGGTACAATGAATGATTTGACTTTAAATTTAAGTTCTTATGAAAAAATGAACAAATCACCCTTTACATGTTAAATGTTACTTAGGACTTCAAGCATATGGGATGTTCAATCACCACAACCAGGCATAAAACTTCAAACAATTTAAAAATTTTCCTTTAAGAATAGGCCAAAAATCCACTAAAAGAAAAAGATTACATTGACCATTAATTGAATAATCAAAATGATTTTTGGAAGCCAGTCATGTATAGAAAACAAACTTTCATGACACAATGGAAATCAGATTTTTCATAAGCAGTTAAATACCCCAGATTTTCACAAAAGATGTAATAAGGCAAATTTCATTACTTTTTCTACCAATAAGATCTAGGAAGTTTCTTAAGTTAAGCAGAGGGACCTGTGTTAGAGTAGGGGTTGGCAAACTGGCTGTGGGTCAAAGCTGCTTCTAAGAGTTTTACCACAGCCTGTTCTCTTGCTCATACACACGTGCAATTTTTCAGTTTTCAGATGTTTATTAAACCTACTTTGAAGGAAACAGGTGCATATTGGATGATTTCTGGATAGTGATTATAATCGTTTTAATTTCCAACATGATATGAAGATGAAAGTGTGTGTTTGTGTGTGTGTGTGTGCAAACATTTCCCCTATTCCTAAGAACAAGTTAACAAGTAGGCAAATGATTCTGAGTGAAATATTCAGTCAATTGCTAACCTCAAGTCTGCATCTTCATAATGAGGGTGATTCACAATGGGATGAAGTGTAGACAGTTTGATGCTTGCCATTGTAGGCATAGCACCTGCAAAAACAGCATCTGAAAAATAAGATTACATTTCTTAATAAAATGTTTTAAGAAGACCAAAAATAAACTTATCCATAGTATCTGAATTTAAATTAAGCAAGATGAAGCATTTACTTGAATAAGAACCATTGATATCATTCATTTTATTCACTCAGTATTCACTGTCTACCATATGACATCTACCTTTGTTAAGTGTTATTTTGGTGTTGGGAATGGTGCTCAGTATTTTTATAAGAAGCCAATGATTTAATATGCGTAAGAACTCTATGAAGTGAGTTCTCTGTTTTTCTTACTTTGTAGAAGAAGAAGCAGACAAACAGCAAAGTGAGTTGTCTAAGATTGTACAGCTAAAAGGTTCAAAGCTCACACCCTTAGGCACTCCACTATCTTGCTTCAGGATGACATTACGAGCCAGTACTACAGAGATGCACAGGACAAGGGACAATGTAAATCACATGAGTTATCATGAAATTAAAGCATTTAAAATTATTTAAAACGCTAGAGACTGAGAAAGTGTTTTAAGTGTCAAGGCTCAATAGTACATTTTTTCAAATGATTTTTGTATGTTGTGATATATAGTCATGTCTATGTGCCAGAGAACACATACATGTCTTTCTTTAGATGATCTTTAAATATTCATAATTATGTTCTCTCAATTGCCATTTGAGTTTTTGCCATTTATACATTTCATCCTATCATTTTATAACTTGTGAGTACTATTTTTTAATGTAAAGGCATGTATAAATTCAATCATAAATAGGACTACATAAAAAACTATCTGGCTTCAGTGTCAGTTTTGTCTCCTGGTAAACCAAATGAACAAATGCTTCTAATTGTGAAGGTTGTTATCATTTTAATTAGCACAATACAAACAAGGCGTGCTATTCAGATCTACTAAAGCAACTGTTTACTTTCAAATATAACCCAGCATTCTAAATGTAACTGTGAATGCAAATGCAAGACAAGCTATCTGCAATGTAGTAGGAACTATGGCCCAGTGCCACTGCCCAGCTTCAAGAGAGTATCATACTCTCAATGCAACTGGCCCGGAAAAAGATCATGACTCAAAGCTTAAGACAGTTTCTACTGAATGTGTATAGTGCTTCCTCGCTAGTGTAAACACAAAAAATTGTAAGTCAAACTACTGTAAGTCAGTCTGTGCACACACACACAGACACACACACAAAGTGCTAACCACCTAACTACACAGTATATATAAATGTCTGTATATGTGTAAAACTAAGTATGCATATAACTAAATAGCTACATACCAGGTCTGGTATTGTATTTGATCCATTGTATAATTTCTTCCTGAGGCAAATTATTAAATTCTCCTATTATGCTCCATTGATTGTGGAGGTTTGCACAACCTTGTATTGACATCACTGTCAGAATGCCAAAGATAACATTCGCAAAATGAACTTTGCAAAAAAGCCAGCCAAAGAGCTGAAATGAAAAAAAAACACACACATTTATTTATAATTCTTATATAAAGAATGCTATTGAGTCAAAAAAAATTCTTATTGCTTAAACCAAGGTTTACATTTGATATCAGTATATAAATACAGAATTATCATCAGCTATTGCTTAAAAACAATGAATACATTACTGGGCCTCTCAAAAGAATTAAAAAAGGCATACCTGATCCTTCTAGTAATGATTTGTAACCAGGGGTTAGGATTATCAAATCACACAATTTTGAAAAATCCTAACACTAGATCCATTAACATTTGGTTGCCTTGTGGGAACCAGGGAAACTTTATTAGCACTAATATGTATATTCCTCTCAGGAAAACAAACATTATGATATTTTCAAACTATATACTCATAATCAAAACTAAATAAGATGTTTCTATAGGTTCCAAAACTCCAGGTAATTTATCTGGAGTTAGATACACTCAGGGAATCCAGGATCAACAACATTTTTTAGGAATTCTCTGTTCCAAACAGGACTATACTTGAGCAATTATTTCGTATCTGTTCACTACTGAATGAATACTCGAGGGTGGTTTTGGTGGACAGGAAACTGGCACAAACAACTCTGAAAGACTATATTGTGGGTTGAATACTAAACAGGGGGAATGTGTACCTAATCACTCATCAGAGAAATATCAGTTACAATCAAGGAATAATATTTAAAGCCACTTGAAGATGCTTCTCTCACTCAATAGTAAATTGTTAACTAAAATTTTTAATGATTTAAGTTAACTAAATTAAAGCGCCTCATTTTATGTTTTGGATTACTCAGCAAAGCCATGGTAACTATACTAGTGTTGCTACAAAATGATAGTGTACTCGCACAAGATGGTGCCTTACCTGTCGGTTGCAGATCAAGGAAGCCATAATACACATGTGTGGTGTCAAAAACAGTTTCAGCCTCATAATCAAAACAGCAAGGGAAGTAAATGCCATCAACTGCAAAGTGTGAAAAACCAGCTATAAAACAAAACAAAGTCTTATTTTTTATATTTTATTATTAATAAGTATAAAGTATATTAAAACCATTATTATTCATTAGAACAAAGATCTTCTAACTATAATGTCTATTAATGTTTATTTATTCATTAAATGCTAGGCACTGTTCTGAGTGCTTCAGATATAACACTGAGCAATCTCTACCCTTGTGAGGCTAACATGTGAGTACAATTTAATATGAAGATACTGACAATAAATAGACATACAAAATAAATAAGTCCACTAGAATCCACAGAAAATAAATAAACCTCATATAGTCTATTAGTAAGTGATAAATGGGCAAGAAAGTGGAACAGGGAAAAGAACCACCCTTGCAGAACAACTCAAGTATTGCTAAGGGAGCCCCAGCAGCCAGGCTACGCTTTGTGAATTATCCTTGAACGAGAGTTTAATATGCAAGTCTACCAGAGAAAAAAATGACAACTTTACCTCACCATGTTCAAGGAGCTGTTTTCTGGAATAAAATAAAAAATATTATCTATTTACTGAATGCCCATTACACTATAATTACATAAAAATAGCTTCATTGATTTGTTCTTACATTTTTTGAAATTTTATTCTCTTAAAACTACTTGGGAGTTAACATTACTAAAATGTACAGTAATTTGAAAGGCATAATTTACAGTCATTGTACTGAAAGTATGTCAAAAAGTCATTCTTCGGTTAAGATAAAAAATGTTTTGCTGATCCTTGAAGATTGTAATTCTGGAAGAATGAATACAAAGACTTTCTATTAAATATTCATATTATGTATAATAAATACTTTAGAAAACTACTATTGGAATTTTGAATTGTTTTCATTTTCACAATTAAAAACCTCATGAACATTCTTGTGCAGTAAGTTTTGTGAGCATCACTGAACATTTTCTTTGGATAAAGTTCTAGAAGAAAAATTATTGGGTAAAGCACATAAATATTTTTAGTTCTAGAAGGTGGTTCCAACTTATTGAGTATGTACAGGATACCTACTATGTTCTAACCACTGTATAGTGAAAAAGCTGAAACAGTACAGATAAATTCTTATCCTTATAAAGCTTACATGAGAGGCAAAAGCCTGCCTACTTTATTGTTCCACTGAAAGTATGGGTATTTTATAATACCCTGGATCCCTAATAGGGATTTAAAAGTAGAAAAGAGAAATAAGCCAGTGTTCAAAGGAAATTCAGGGGTATACAGATCTATAGTTTTTTTTAAAGGGTGTTTGTGGGATGTATCTCAGGACAATTGTTACCAATTACTCTACCACCATTGTAGCTCCTTTCCTACATAGGCAGCCGAGAAATTGTCCACTCACAACAGAATCCTGGAGTGAGCTATTGCATGCAGAGAAAATGCCTGATAGGTAAGTATATATTATAATTGTCATGGACTGCCCCCCACAACAGTAAATACTAATACAAATAAATTTAGGAACTCATTTAAGATATGAATAAATAAGACACAAATAGCATGAAAGTGAAGCACCAGGATAAATGAGTAAAAACTCTGACCTCACAGAAAACAGAGCCAATGCAAGAAATAAAAGAGACTACTAAATGAAAATTCCAACTATGATCTTCAGAGAAGTTTGAGAGGATATCACATCCATGTAATCAGAAAGCTACCAAGAAAAGGAGCTTTCAGAAATTCTGAGAAAACATATGTGCAAAATTCAAAACTTCAAAATAACATTGAAAATAGTGTACATAGCTGAAGTTGGTAATAGTGTACATAGCTGAAGTGTACATAGCTGAAGTTGGTAATGTTGAAAACTGAGCCATGTAATTCTGTGAAAAAAGAGAAAAAAATAGATGATATGATAAAAGCCATAACAGAAGTTCAAGAAAGAGAGACTGAGTCAAAAAATAAGGGAGCAACAATTCCCTCAGCTGAAGAAGTAAATACTCAGATCAAAATAAACCTATCTCTCTTTTTCCCCATCTCCAACCTCTACAAATTTCCAGAAACACTTTATAGAAGATTTTTCATTTGCAATGCTCAATATTAGAAAATGAAAAAGAAATCTACAAAATGCTGAATAAAACCCTGATATATCTACTCAACAATCCATAATCAAAATGGAGGTCAAAAAACTCTGTATATGAAACAAAAAAAGACCAGGACCAGCCAAATAAATCTTGAGAAAATGGCACAATATTGAGGCATCACAGTTCGTGACTTCAAAACATAGTACAAAACTACAGTAATTAAAACAGTATGGTAGGGGAAATCTAATGTGTTAAATTAGAGGATGAGTGTATTTTTCAGTTGTTCCATTTTGGGGATTCAAGCAATGGAAGCACTGCTTTCCAGTAAAGTGGGTGATAGCAGGAATTCACTGAAATCCTTTATCAGAACCAGAAATGCATGTATTTAGTTGCTTTGAATACAGGAAAAGAAAAAATATCCTTGAGGTTTTGCTTGTAGTGCTGATGGTGCCAATTCACTGTAGAGAGAAAAGGTCACAAAGGCAGAGAAAGAAAAACCATAAAAAAAAATTGGCTTGGGAGAATGTGTGGAACACATAGACAGTCTGATTTAACTGATCCAGAGGTAGTGCAACAAGCTGGTGATCCATGTTTCTCTGCTGTTAAGTAGAGCATTAAGGCATATTGCCATCTTGAAGTGGCCACACATCAGTTTTCTTCTTACAACAAGTGTCATCATACTGTTCCAGCAAGTGCCTGCCTTGAAGTTTTAGAGTGTGCCTGGTGGATGTGACTGAAGTGGTTTAAACTAACACTTGGATTAAACTGAGTCTGTCTCAAAGCTAATAGATATCAACAACACAGGATTCATTACAAAAGAGAACTACACAACAAAGGACACACTCACAATAGAGAAAGAGGAATGTTTCTCAACATGTGCAAGTCCACGACTTGTAAAGACAGGAGGAAACAGGCAAACAAGTCTTCCCCTGAAGTTTACAATTCCCCAACAAAGGAACACACAGACATTGAAGGGAATGAAATTTCAAAAAAGACTATAAAAATATATTAATTAAAATAATTAGTAGGTTAATAGAATACCTAAGTAAAGAATTAAGAGTAAATACAGGAAGTGAAAGACCAATTCAAAAAGAGAGAGATTCTGAAAAGAAATCAATCACAACTTCTGGAAATGAAAGACAATAAATCAAATAAAATTTTCACTTGAAAGCGTCACCAACAGATTAGAATATGTTTAAAATATAATTTTCAGGCCTCAAAGACAGGGTCTGTGAAGTGGACCACTCAATAAATAGAAAAAATAAAAGAACAAGATCAGAATATAGGAACTCTGTGACAATAGTAAGAGACCAAATTTAAGAATCCTCAGGATAGAAGAGGGCATAGAGATACAGGCTAATGGCATTAAGAAACTTTTCAGTGAGATAACAACAGAAAATTGGCCAAACCTTAGGAATGAGATGGACATCCATATACAGGATGTTTACATGACACCAAATAAAAAATATTTAAAAAAAAACTCGCCAAGACATATAATAATCAAAATGCATAATATAGATAATAAAGATAGAATAATAAAAGTCACAAGAGAAAAATGTCAGGTCACATTTAGAGATAAACTAATAAGCCTCGCTTTTGACTGCTCAACTCAAGCCTCTAAAATCCAGAATGACTTAATGAGAGAATGCATACTCTAAAAGAAAACAACTGTCATGCAAGGTTGTCATATCCAGTAAAACTAACATTCAAAATCAAAGAACAAATAAAAATTTTTCATAGTATGACTTAAGTATTCATGACCACTATATCAGCACTATAGAAAATGCTTACAGAAATACTACACAAAGAAAAACTGAAAAATAAATTCCAAAGCTCTCAAATGGATAAAATTCTCCAGAAGAGTAATTAAGTGAAATAAAATTAAGAACAAATTAAATTTATAAAATAAACCAAAATGGCTGGAAATAATAAACATCTCTGCATAATAACTGAATATTAGTGATCTCAACTCTCCAATTAAAAGTCAGACTGGCAGAATGGATTAAAAAACAAGATCCAACTGTATGCACTTTGCAAGAAACTCATCTTGTAGGCAAAGACATCCACAGTTGAAATTAAAAGAATTAAAAAAGAAATTCCATACAAGTGGAGTCCAAAATTATGCAGATTTCAAGTAAAAAATTGTCAGAGAGACAAGGTAGGAGACTACACATTGTTAAAGAAAACAATTCAACAAGAAGATATGATAGGGCTGGGGTTGTGGCTCAGAGGTAGAACACTCGCCTAGCATGCATGAGGCACTGGGTTCAATCCTCAGCACCACATTTAAAAAAAAAGATACTGTGTCCACCTACAACTAAAAAATAAACAATTTTTAAAAGAAGATATTGCAGTTAAGATTTATGCCCCAAATGTCAATACTTTTAGTTACATAAAGCATACACTTCTTGTCATTCCCTCCTAGAGAGACCCCAAAATGTGTGCGACTCCAATAAATAATATTGGTGATACACGTTTCACCAATAGATAAGTCATCCAGATATAAAATCAATAGATATTTCCAGACTAAATAATACTATAAATGAAATGAACCTAAGAGATGTCTATAGAATAGTTCATCCAATAACAGCTGAATATTCTTTCTTCTCAGCATTTCATAGAATTTCTTCCAAAATAGAGCATATTTTAGGTCACCAAGTAGGTCTCAGCAAATAGAACAAAACTGATATTCTCTTGGCCATCTCATCAGATCATATAGAAATGAAATTAAAAATCAACAGTAATAAAAATTATAGAAACCCCACAAACTTATAGAATTAAACAATAGTCTTTTAAATGAAGAATGGATCAGAGAAGGAATAAGAGGGGAAATTAAAAAGTTCTTAGAATCAAACAAGAATAGAGATACAACATGCCAAAATCTTTGGGACAGTACAAAATCAGTTCTAAAAGGACAGTTTATAGCATTAGGTGCATACATTTTTTAAAAAGGAAAAATATCAAGTAAACAATCTAGTGGTACATCTCAAGGTCATAGAAAAGCTGGAAAAAATGAATTCCAACGCCAGTGGAAGACAGGAAATAATCAAGATCAGAGCTAAAATTAATGAAATAGAGAATGAAAAAATACAAAAGGTCAACGCAACAAAGAGTTGGTTCTTTGAAAAGATAAGTAAGTCTGATAAACTAATAGCCAAACTAAACAAGAGAGTGAGAATATGAAATCAATAAATTAGAGATGAAAAAAGAGATGTCATCACAGACATTTCTAAAGTTGAGAGAACCATTAGGGATTATTTTGAAAACTTATAAATTGTAAAATCTAAAAGCTTTGATAAATTTTGAGACACAGATACCTTCCAAATTGAATCAAGAGAACACAAAATATCTAAACAGACAAATATCATGCCATGAAATTGAAGCAGTAATAAAGAGCCTTCCAAAAAAGAAAAAAACCCCGGACCCAATAGATTCTCAACTACTAGACATTTAAAGAACTAAGACCAATCCTCAAATTATTCCATGA